GAGCCCCGGTCCACTGTCTGGCTCTCAACCCAAACAGTGGCACATGATGCAGATACCCTTCATTCAGAGGCTCACCCTGACTCTCCTGGGCCTGCCTCTGCTGTGGCAGGATTCATGAAGCGTCCAGGTAGAGCCAGGAGCACTGAGTGCCAAGCAACTGCTTCCCTTCCAGGAAGAGGGATGGCCTTGTGTTCGGACGGGGGCATGGGGCCACAGAAACCAGTCCATGCAGCCCTCTGTGAGCTCAGCCAGGACTCATGTAGTGCAGGAATAGCAGCCCAAGATGTGGTGGGTGTAACTTTCCTCTAAGAAGCATCTACTTCCTGCTTCTGCTTGGCATGCAAAATTATATGCACCTACTGTGTCATCCTTTGGCAGCCAGGGAGGCTAAGAGATGACATTCCTGCCCTGTGACTTGTTGGGGGCCCATAAGCAGGGGACTTCTTGTGATTCTTATTAGCAAAGTGCCCCCCGCCCCAGTTTTCTACAGCTTCCCACGGTTGAATATCCTTCCTCAAAATTACCTGGATGCCAAGAAAATAAAAGACAAGTGTTAAGAAAGAAAAGTTACTGTGCCCAAACATCAACTGCCATGGTTCAACCCAACCTTATACCCCCATAAATATTCCAAAAGGTACAGGTCACTAGAATACAAACCCCATGAAGCCAGACCTTGTCTGTCTTCACCATGGTATTCCCAGGACCTAGCCCAGTGTCCAATTTATAGCAATGCCCAATTACTTTGTTTCTTTCAACTAGCATATGCCAAATGCCTATTGTGGGCCAAGTGCTTTATTCACTGAAGATGAAGTGATGAGCAAAATGGTCATCTCATGATCTCTGCCTTCCTGGGGTTTACAGATTAATGATTATTGAGTGAAAGAACAAAGTTATGCTGAAAATGCCCTGGAAGTGATGGCCATTGCAAGGATGGGCATCATGCAAGTCAGCAAAGTGTTAGTTCATTCAAATATTTATTCACTCAACTATTAATTCACTCAACACATATTTTTGTGCACTTTCATAGTGTCATGCTTAGTGGATAGGTCCAGAAGATACAACGTGAATAAAATGTGATTCCCGGCCTAGAATCTCAAAGACTAGTGAGGAGATAAACTAAGGGAATAATAATCCTACTATGTGACAGATGATATAATAATGTATAAGATGCTGGAGAAGCCCAGAGATGGAAAGTACTAACTTTATTCTAACATCACACAGGATATCAAAAGATTGCTAGGATTTTTCCAGAAGGCCAAGGTAAGGAAAGCAATCTAGATGAAGGGAAGGGGGAAAGCATGAGCTAAGTGGGGAAGCATGAAAAGCATGTTGTTTGGAGGGTTTATGAAAAGTTTGAGGAGGGAAATGAGGTTGGCAAGTTAAGTTAGAGCTTGACAGTCCTGCTAAGGCATGTACGCCTCACTGTGCAGGCAGTGGGGGACCACAGGAGGAGGATCCCAGACATACATGGTCACAAATCACAGAAGGAGGTGGGATTTGGCAGAAGACTGTGGGAAAGAGGGAGCCATTGACCTTCTCTTTTCCAACTGTCTTCTCTTTTCCAACTGTCTTATACCATCATCTTCCCAGCCACTTTCAGGCAGAAGAGACATCTTAGATGACATGGACAGGTCCTCAAGGGACACTCTGTGGGAAGTATGTGAGGAAAAGGGAGAAAAAGATGTCTTTACAGTGCCAAGAGAAGCCAAATCTCTTCACATGGAAACTGCACGCCAGAGAGAAAGTTGAAAGGATAGTGGCACAAAAACTTCATTTTTGTTTCCCCTCTTTCTTAAGGATCCATATCCAAATCCTCCTTTTGAGGAGAGTAGGTGATCTCAGTTCCTAGTCGCAGGTATAAGCTGCATATGGGAGCCTTGTAGGAATCAAGTCAAGGGACAGCACACTCTGGAATTTAGACCTGAGCTGTTGGGAAGCCAAACCACCTTGGCCAGAGCTGGTTTCCATTATCCCATTGCCATCAATATTTCAGCCCCAAATAGGCCTCCTTGCAAATACTAAGCTTGCCAGCACTATGGGGAGATCAGGAGGCTCCTAGGAGTATCACTTCCCTGGGGAAGGAAATACAACTGACCCAAGGAGAGGCAACACCTCTCTGGCTCAACTGTACACAGACTCCTGCATGGAGGGATGCCTTGATCCTTGAGGCTGGGCCACAAGGTTCCAGGTGAGTCTTCGATGTGGGCAAGCACAGAAGGAGGAACCCATCTGCATCCTCTGTCTTAGGCATCAGATGAAGGGGAGCTACCTGGGTGTGATTGGGGATTTGACTTCTTACCCTGTCCCTCTCCATCTCTCTCTTTCTCAGAACTATGGGCACAAGGAGGACATCCTCTGTGTGGCTCAAGGCCCACCTTTGCTTCTTGCCACCTCCAGTTACGATGGGGAGGTCATCATTTGGAATGTCATCTCAGGCCACATATACTTCAAGCTGAATACTTCCAGCCCCTCTGATGGTACAGAAGACAGAAAAGGTAGGTGAGGGGTAGGCTCCACAGCTGCTCTGCACAGGTCCCAGCAGGCTTGGATTCCTGGCACGTCCTAAAGAGTTCTCAGTTCTGGACAGCTTCCTGGTTAGAAGGGATTAGCCTGGTTGCAGGTTAAACCTGTCAGCTGGAGATTCCCAAAGCTGGGAGGGAGTTTAAGAGTTCAGCTAGCTCAGTCCACATCCCCAGGCACTCATCCATCAGAAGCTGTCTCAGACCAACCCACCACCTCCGGGAGCCTTTTCTCATCCACTGTCCACCTAAAGGACTCTCTCCCCTGAGCCCCTTGGGCTTTGTTATAGTGCTGATTTTGCCCCTCTGTCTTACAGGCTCCTTTTGCCCAGCTAGTAAGCCTGCTCTCCCAACCCACCTCAAACATTATCTTCTGATGTGTCACTCAGCTATGTGCCCTCAGGTTTTATGCCATCCTCTCCATCAGCACCCTCAGGTGGCCCCCAGGGTCCCAGAGTCCTCACATTGCCCGTGACCCCCTACACTCTGCCACATGAGTCAATCCTTATTACTTGTGTGTAATACAAAGTATTATAAAGGTTTTAAAATACATATAAATATACATAAAGATTTGTTTATTAATTATAAGGATTTTATTTATTTATTTATTTATTTATTTATTTATTTATTTAGAGAGTGCACACAAGCGGGGCAGGGCACAGGGGGAGAGGGAGATCTCCAGCAGACTCCCCACTGAGCATGGAGCCTGATGTGGGGCTCCATCTCAGCACTCTGAGTTCATGACCTAAGCTGAAACCAAGAGTCAGACACTCAACTGACTGAGCCACCCAGGCACCCCGTATTACTTGTATATCTTATTGCAAAACTTTTCTCCACCCTCCCATCCCATTCTCCCTAATTTTTCTGCCCTGGTTCCATTTCTTCAAGACCCTCTCTGTCTGCTAATGTGATCATGGGCCTGTTCACTCACATCTTCATTCAAAACACATTGTTGAGTTCCTGCTATGTGCCAGGCCCAATGCTGGGTGTGGGGGTTGGTAACCACACCCCTCTCCCTCCAAGTCATGAACTCTTTGAAAAGCACACTTACCTGTCAGCTTCATTCATGGCTGGCTGTGCTGGATGGAAAACCATGGTAACCCACAGCCGAAGGCTTTCTACCACTTCTTGCCCTACCTCCAGAGTCCAGGCTCATCCTTCCCAAGTGGCAGTCTGTAGACACTCATCTGCCAACAGCCAAGAGACCCACTACCTCACACCCATGGAGCCCCCACAGGGAGACACAGGGCACTGGTGATTTTACCTAAAACCAGGGAGTTCTTGCATCTCCTGAAACCCAGCCAGCAAACCCTCAGAGAACCCCACCCTGCAATCCCCTGCCTGAGGCATCTGATAACTTATTAGCCAAGGAAGAGCTCTAATGACTCATTTGATCAGAAAATATCGTTGAGCCATTCCTATGGGCATAACCCTGAGGGAGATACATAGAAAAGACTAGAGAGAGATGTGAGGCTTGATGCTGCCTTCAGAGGGTTCACAGTCTAATTTCAGACACAAGATGTTCATGCCCAGCAGATAAAAGAATGGAAAAGAAATGCAATCAGCCTCCGGACTGCTGTGCTTGAGAGACACTCTGGAAGGCAGTGGCTAGAAACTGAACATCACGAGATTAAAAAGAAATTCTTACCTGTAGCTTTGTTATCTAGTCTGTTCCTACCCCTTTTACTAGAACATAAAAAAGATTCTTCTCTGAGGCTCTTTCTACCAGTGCCTAAGACTTTTAAAAATCTTTGGGGAAAAAGTGGTGGCATTTCCTTCTAAATGATTATTTTCATCGCCATTAAAAAGAAAATAAAGTTACTGGCCAAGAATGCAATGTTGACCTTTTAGCTAGCAGCTCTAATTTAAAACCCTTAAAAGCAGCATTTGTTGCTTAAAGTTATGTGACTGCTGGCTTTGAGAAACTCCTTTTCTGCTCCCCAAATGCAAAGCCAACCATAGCTACCGATAATTCACATTTCTACACTGCACAAATGAGATGAAACTCTGTGAAAGTTCCCTACCCTTCCAAGAAAGAGCAGTACTGGCTCTTCTTGAAGGTCAAACCAGAACCCCGTGGTCTTTTTCACATGGGATTGGTTAAGAGGTCACCATCTTATTTGGAAAACTATCCAGACTATTCTTCTGAAGTCATCTTTAGTAGAGAGGGGAGCTAAGAGAGAAAGGCAATGGTGTAAGCCAAGCCGAATGAGCTGAAAACAAATTCTTTCTGCTGACTTTTTGACATTTTAGCTTCATTCTTCCTTATATTGGGGATTGTCACATCTTCCTTGACATCAAAGAGAAAGAATTTGACAGTGAAAGAGAGACAGAGATTTCAACCAGGCTAAAATCCAGGAAAGCAGTGGGCATACTGAGAGACTAAGCCTTTTTCTTTGTCCTCTTCCCCCTCCCCTCCCCATCCCCCTCCTCTTCCTACTCCCCTCCCCCCACCCTCTCCTCCTTCTCCTCCTTCCCCTCCTCCTCCTCTTTCTATGTTTATCGTGGTAAAATACACACAGCAAATGTACAATGCAATGGTATTAGATACACGTATGTGGCCATGAACCATCACCACTGCCCATCTACAGAACTTTTCATCATCCCCACCTAAAACTCTGTCCTTGCTAAACACCAGCTCCCAATTGTCCCCTCCCTGCAGCCTGTGCAACCACCATTACACCTCTGTCTTTATGATTTGACTACTCTAAGTCCTTCATGTAAGTGGAATCATACAGTATTTTTCTTTTTGTGACTGGCTTATTTCACTTAGCATAATCTTCTCAAGTTTCATCCATGTTGTAGCATGTTAAAGAATTTACTTCCTTTTTAAGGCTGAATAATACTCCACTGTGTGTGGATATACCGCAGTTTGCTTATCTGTTTCCCCATCAGTAGCCACTCGGGTTGTTTCCACATTTTAGCTATTGTGAATAATGTTGCTATGAACATAGGTGTACAATATCTCTTCAAGACTCTGCTCTTCAATGATTTGGGGTATATACCCAGAAGTGGAATTGCTCGATCATGTGGTAGTTTTATTTTTAATTTTTTTGAGGACCCTCCATACTGTCCTCCACAGTGGCTGCACCAGTTTGCATTCCCACCAATAATGCACAAGGTCCCCATTTCTACACATCCTTGCCAACACTTGTTCTTTTCTTTTCTTTCCTTTCTTTCTTTCTTTCTTTCTTTCTTTCTTTCTTTCTTTCTTTCTTTCTTTCTTTCTTTCTTTCTTTCTTTCTTTCTTTCTTCTTTCTTTCTTCTTTCTCTCATAGTCATCCTAACGGGTGTGAGGCAGTATCTCATTGTGGTTTTGATTAGCCATTCCCTAATGATGAGTGATGTTGAGCATCTCTTCATGTGCATATCAGCCATTTGTATATCTTTTTTGGAAAATCATCTGTTCAAGTCCTTTACCCACTTTTGCTTCAGGTTTTTTTGTTTTTGTTTTTGTTGTTGTTATTGCATTTTAGAAGTTCACTCTATATTCTGGCTATTAATCCCTTATCAGAAATATGACTTGCAAATATTTTCTCTCATTCTGTAGGCTGCCTTTTTACTCTGGGTAGTGTCTTTTGTGCACATTTTTAAAAATTTTCATGAAGTCCAATTTGTCTATTTTAAATTTTGTTCCCTGTGCCTTTGGTGTTATATCCCAGAAATCATTGCCTAATCCAGTGTCCTGGTGTTTTTGTCTTATGTTTTCTTCTAAGAGTTTTACTGTTTTAGGTTTTAAGTTTAGGCCTTTTATCCACTTTGAGTTAATTTTTATGTGTAGTGTTAGATAAGGGTCCAACTTCATTCTTTTGCAAGTGGATATCCAGTTTTCCCACACCATTTGTTGAAAAGACTGTCCTTTTCCCATTGGACAGTTTTGGTACCTTTATCAAACATCATTTGACCATAAATGTGAGGGTTCATTTTTGGGCTTTCTATGCTATTCCATTTGTCTACATGTCTGTCTTTATGTCAGTACCAAACTGTTTTGATTATTGTAGTTTTATAGTAAGTATTAAAATCGAGAAGCGTGAGTCCTCCAATTTTGCTCTTCTTTTTCAAGATAGTTTTGGCTATCTGGGGTTCCTTGAAATTCCATACAAACTTTAGGATGGGTTTTCTAATTCTGCAAAAAATACCATTTAGATTGCATTGGGTCTGTAGATTGCTTTGTGTAGTTTTATTTTATTTTATTTTATTTTATTTATTTGAGAGAGAGAATGGGGAGGGGAGGGGCAGAGGCAGAGGAAGAAGCAGACTCCCTTCTGAGCAGGGAGCCCGACATGGGGCTCAATCCCGGTCCTGGGATCATGACCTGAGCTGAAGGCAGACGCTTAACTGACTGAGTCACCCAGGCACTCCTAGATTGCTTTGCGTATTTTAATTATTTTATTTTATGTTAAATATTTTAACAATATTAAATCTGCCAATCCGTGAACACGGATGTGTCTCCATTTACTTATGTCTTCAATTTCTTTCATCAATGTTTTGTAGTTTTCATTGTACAAGTCTTTAACTTCCTTAATTCCTAAGTATTTTATTCTTTTTGATGCTATTGGAAATGAGGCTGTTTTTGTAATTTCTTTTTCAGATGGTTCCTTGTTTGTATATAGAAATGCGACTGATTATTGTGGGTGGATGTTGTATCCTGCTACTTTACTGAATTCATTTATTAGTTCTTAGATACTAAGGCTTTTTAACTAGGAAACTAATATAAAAATATTTATTTATAACTAATGATATTTGTTTATTATAACAATATAATATTTAATAAATATAATCATTTAGTATTTAATAATAATATAATTATAATTAATATAACAACATATAAATATTATAAAAATAATATATTTAATCTTCTACATCATTTTCCTGAGTGCTCTTAGTATTTTATCGCATTTAGGGCTCACATTGACCCTGAGAGATAGGTGTTATTGCACCCATTTTCATAGATAAGGAAACTGAGGCCAGAGAGCTCAGTAACAATGATTATGACAGCTTGAGGGCTTGAGGGCCTGAGTCTGCCATGTCCACTGTGGTTTCCTGAGTGCATAGCACAGGGCCCAGCTCAGAGTCAGGCCAAAATCAATATTGCTGAATGATTAACAGCCTGATACACGGGTGTCCTCATGGTGTGAGTCCTGGGAGGAGCATCACTTGTATTGAACTCCAGCACCAACCCCATTATTTGTATGAGACTTTACATGAGACCATTCACTGCGCCTCCAGTCTGGGCAATATATGTACCCTGGAGCCCACAGACTCAAGGAGGAAAGCATAAAGAGAATTCCCTGCCTGCAACCTCAAGTAGCAACGTTCTTTGTGGCTCTCATAGCTTTGCATCTAAGGTTGGTTGTTGGATTTTTGTTCAACAGCAAATAGTTGAGTTCTGTGTACCAAGCACTGTGAGGGGATTGATGTGGCCCCTGTGTGGATGGTGCTGAGTCTAGCAGGGCGACTGGAAGACCGAGGCGAAGCAAGGTGGTGGTGGGCTTTGAAGTTATTCCAACACTTGGCTGTGCTGTGAACATTGGGGATTGACGTCTCTCCCTAGAGAGCCCTCTCTGCCCTGGGAACATGCTATCTTTCAAGATTCCAGATCAGATGCTGGTTCCCCTGAGAAGCCTTCATCCTGCAGGTGCTCATCAGCGTCCAGTTCACTCCTGGGGGTAGCTCTTCTGCTTTGGTTCGGCTCTCTGCTTCCCCTCAGCACAGTGCCTAGGCTGGACCAGAGATTTAACAGATGTTGATAAAAAAAACAAGTGAATGGAAGCATGAACATCTTTATGGCCTTGAGCGAAGCTTTTCACCTTTCTAAGCCTCCACTTCCTCATCTGGCCATGGGACTAATAATCCTATAAACCATGGGATTTCACATGGTTTTCCATCTTGGTAAATGTCAAAGGTGACATAAAGGTTAATTCGTGTTATTCCAATCCAGGAATTTCTGGAGAGTGGGGACTTCTTGAGAAGCATCTGTAAAGTCCTGGGCAAAGTCTCCCAAATCCTTGCCTCTCTCCTAAAGTCCTAGGGTCTTGGGTGGTGCTGGGGTTTCTGGGCTGCCAGGGTCGTTAGGCTTCACACCCGACTTTTCCTGGGTCGGTTCTTAACCAGCGAGGGTGCCTGCCCGCTCGCGCACCCCTGTGTGTTCAGCTCCTGCTTCAGCCCGCGGTGGGGTGTGGAGGGGTCAGAGCCGCAGGAGAGGGGGAAAGATAGGGCTGTGAGCCTGATGGGGAGCACAACCAAACTCTCCCTGGTCACCAGGCCCAGACCAGAGTGTTTCCTGCCTCGCCCTCCTGAAGACTCGGGCTGCCAAGTTTGAATCAGTGGCCGCTTCCCTCATCGCCAACGGGCCCCGAGGTGAGGATGGCATCCCCCAGACTCTGGGCGGCTCTTTTCTAAGACTTGGTCACTGCAGGCCCAGGTTTGGAGAGGGAGGGTCCCGAGTCATTCATTACTGTCCTCCGCAGCCTCTGCTACCCCTCCCTCCGGCAGCTGTCTGTCCTTGGAGCCCAGGCTAAGTACCCCCACCCGGGCCTGCTCTGGCCCAGTCCTGCCAGCCAGCGAGGTGGTCACGAGGGGAGTGAGGGCCTGACCCCCCTTCATCCAAATCAAGTTTCCTTGCCCTAGCTGCCCACTCAGAGGTCCTCTGCAAGTGAGGTGGGCCACAGAGGACATCATTTAGTCAGGCTGAGTAAACACCAAGCAAGCCTGTAAAGGGAAGGCCACAAGCAAGCACAGACAGCCTGACCAAAGAGCCCGAGGAAGAAAAACAAAGAATCCTAAGTGGAGATGAGCTGTGAAGCCTGCTCATTTTAGGACGAAGAAGCCAGGGCTCTCCCGAGAGCTTGAGGATGAGCTTCTAAGTCCAGATCTGCCACTAACTAGCTTGGTGACATTACACAAATGACATGACCCCCTCCCCCCCCGGGCTTTAGTAAAATGGAACAAGTGGGCCACAGTCCTGCTCCAAAGCTCTAGGATTTTAATTAAAATTACGAGTTGAAAGCAGCCAGCCACCTGTGTTCTGGTGGCAAAGGAGGCTCGAGTTGTGTATATCGGTCCCAGGGTACTTGGTCGTTTGTGTTCTTCTCATTAGGTAGTAAGGGACGCCGCAGACTCACGGCCCCAGCAGTCCCCAGGCTGCAGATGCCCTTGGAAGCTTCTCTCCACCCTCCACTGTGAGGCATCCATGGCTTCTGCTTTACCCGGTGGGAGCACAGAGCGCCCTTGCCCCTGAGAGAAGAAGAGGAAACTGCATTCATTAGGGGGCTCCCAAGAGGAAGCAATACGCATGGGGTCCCCACTTCACAAAAGCTTGCTACATGAACACCCATGTATAAAACACAGTCAAGAATTGTGTGTGACCGGTAGGCCAAAAAGACCCCCCCGCCCCAGGAAGCCCTTTGACTAGGCGAGTCCCACAGTATGTTTGCAATAAGTGCTTATACATACAGGCACGCACACACGCTAATTATTGCTGTAGCCCAAACTTCTGGACCTCTCCTCCATAGTCAAAGCTGGAGCCCTTCCCATCAGAAAAGCTGCCCAGGTTAGTGGAGAAAGAAAAAGCTACTGAGCCATAAAAAGGACCCCCTGCCCCAATAGTTACTGATAATTCTAACTGATGGGGTAGCCAAGGGAAAAAAAAAAGGCCCTGGTGTCACGAGGCGGCAGTGCCTGTCAGCAACGGCTCAGAGACTCAGTGGCAGGCAGAGTGCACACCCAAGGTGCCCTTCCTGCTGTCCCCTCCTCACAGGTTCTGTCACCTCCTGGAGGCTGTTCGGTGGGGCCTGTCCCATTGCAAACTTCACTCCCTAAGTTGGGCAATTGGTTGGAAATCACTTCCGTGCTTTGGGTCTGTTGTTTTCTCTTTGTTTTTGTTTTTGTTTTTTCTTTTTTAAAAGATTTTATTTATTTATTTGAGAGAGAGAGAGGGTATGTGAGAGTACGTGCAGGAGTGGGGTGGGGAGGAGGGGCAGTGGGAGTGGGAGAGGGAGAAGCAGACTCTCCTCCGAGCAGGGAGCCTCCTTTCTTTCTAGCCTTTCTTTCTTTCTTTCTTTCTTTCTAGAGGACAAGAGGGAAGGAGCAGAGAGTTACAGATTAGAAAGGAGAGACTCCTTAGGGGGCATCCATGGATGCTTTCCTCATCTAGCCCAGGACCCTGGGACCATGACCTGAGCCGAAGGCAGATGCTTTAACAACTGAGCCACCCAGGCGCCCCTGTTGGTTTTTTTCTTTTTTGACACTAGCCTGACTATGAAACACAGCAACTCTTACGGGCTCCAAGTTCTTAGCCTTATTTTTCTATATAGCATTCCTATCTCGCTGAAAGATTAACACCCGCAAGTGATTAGTTCTTGCTCTAGATAGGATACAGCATTCCCCTTGCCATTGTCTGACAGGTAAGCTTTATCTGCAATGGCCCCGTGTGCATCTGTGATGGACCGTGTGTGTGTGTGTGTCACAGGCCCTGTGTGTCTGTCTATGAGTGGCCCTGTGTGTCCGTGTCTGTGAAAGGCCATGCTTGTGTGTGTGTATGTGTGATGGACCATATGGGTGTCTCTGTAAATGGCTCTGTGCATGTGTCTTTCAGTCCAGGGACAAAGCGCAAGTCAGCAGCATCGCGGTGACAGCAGGAGATGCCCTTGCCTACATGGCTGACCAGAAAGGCTTGGTGCACGTCTATGACATCACAGAGCATGGCCTGCAGGGACCTGAGCTGCAGTCCCCCAAGAGTAGGCAATGAACTCTTCATGTTAAATCCTATGATGAGCACAGCTTCGGTTTTAATTGAATATTCTCATCGGTAAAATGAAATTGTACCAGTGAGGCTGGGAGGGGGTCTCTTAGACCCTTTACGAATGGATGTAGGAACAAGTATTTGCATGAAAATATTCACAGTTGGCACAAATACAGGAAAATGGGTATATTTATTCATTTAATTTTTTACTGAGTTTTGAAAGGAGTCAGTGCTGAAGGCATGTACACTTGGAGAGCAGGCAAATCGGTATATCCTATCTGAAGGGCAAGTTGACAATACATACCTAAAGCTTCAAACCAGCAGTCCTACTTCTAGGCATTTGGCCGAAAGGAATAATAAGACAAGTGCACAAAGATTTAGTTATCAGGTTTGAATCAATACATTGTTTGTAAGAGACAATAGAGATAACCTAGATATCTAACATAAGGAGAATTGATTCAGTACATGATGGTGTAACAAATACACTGGGATGCCATCTAGTCATTAAATAACAATGCTGTAAATGAAAATGTATTTATGGGGAAAATATTCTGGTAAATTATTAAATGAAAAACTTCAGATTGCAAAACAGTAAAGTACGAGTCTTTTTTAAAATGAAGAAGTATATGGAAGACCGAATGGCTGGAAAGATACGCACTGAGGTTTTAGCAAATGTCAGCTCTTTGTAGATGAGGTTATTTATTTTTTATTTTTGGAAATCCGTATTTTCTAACTTCTCCAGAAACATATTGCATTAGCAGTCAGAAAAATGTTTAAGAATTTAAAACCCTTTCATGCAATTGTAAAAGTGCTCAAGTTTGGGAAAAAAAAATCAGACAGCACAAAAGAATGGAAAATGAAAAGTAACAGCTGTTACTCTGACCTCTTCTGCCACCTAATTTGCCATTGCTGCATCCCAGGAACACTGTTAATGAATTTTAATTTTCTTCCAGAAAGTTTCTATCCATATAAATACAGGGGCACCTACATACACACAATGCATAATTTTCAGGACCTTTTTTTTTTCTTTGTATCCCTTAGACAACTTTCTAACTAAGCATATTTAGCATATTTAATATCTAACATATTTAAATGGCTATATGAAATCCCATTAAATACATTTCTATAAAGCCAAGAGAGAGGTAAATATTTGCATACTTCCATTTAGTCACCTTTTCCTGTTCGCCATAAAAGTTTAAATGCTATAGTAAGAGAAGTTGGAATTTAGAAGTAAAAGTCACCTGCCTAGCCTGGGTCCTTTACTCCAAGTACTGGGAGCATAGCTCTTACCTGGCTATTTTACAAATCATTTCTGGTTACTTGTCTACTCCTGAATGCTTATCAAACCCAAAGCACTGAGGGAAACCATAACATAAGCACCTTGCACGGGACCCGTTTTATCTGTCTTTGGACCTGGCATAGGGCCTTACACATAGTAGGTGCTCGATAAACACTTATCAATTAATACAGCAAAACCGACGACTGCCACACCACTACCTCTCTGCTTGTGGACACTCATGCAGATCCGACCCCGTCCTGTAGGACCTGTTGTACAGCACCTGGCATCATGGTGGTTAACTCCGCCACCGTCCTCAGGTGTGCGCTTTCTTTCCGTTTAGGTGTGACGTTCTGGCGGGCCCATGTCAGTGTGGTGACATCGTGAGTACCATCCATTTTAGAGTTCAAGAATTTGTAAGAGTTAAAATACTTTTCATAGCTTTGATCAAATCAACCCTCTCAGAAGGCCTCTCGGAATTAGTGAAAATATGAAAACAGTATTACAGTCCCGCTGTTGGCAGGTCTGATTGGAAGTCTTCATTTTTCTTGTAAATGGTAGATTGTCTTCCTTGACTAGCTCTGATCTGGTATTTTACTGTAAGTTTAGAAATTTAGTAAATTAATTAATTAATTTATTTATATTTAGTCGTTTAATTTTTTACTGAGTTTTGAAAGGAGTCAGTGCTGAAAGCATGACCTGAACTCCGGCAGGGCTGTTCTTTACAACCTTTTGATCTCCCCCCGCAGACCCATCATCCATAAGATGGTTTCCAGTGTATCTTGTTTGATTATCTTGGGGCTGAAGCTGGAGATTTTGGAGAGTGTGGTGTGGTAGGAGGCCAGGAAAGAATGGTACCAGGAATAATTCAGGAGATTGACCTGTCTTCTATATCCCAACTGTAATTAATGGAGCATTGACATATTGATCCAATGTCCCTTTTATGCTGGAGCAACCTTGGAGCACCTCTTCTCCCTTTTTATCTCATTAATTTGGAGCTGATAGAAGAAAAGTTTCTGCTGTCGTCCTCCCTTGACCGCACCGTGTGCCTGTGGAGTGGGGGCGGGGAGTACATAGGTATGGAACATCCCCCTGGCTGCTGCCTCAGTCCCAGTTCAGGGCTTCTGATGTAGCCTCTGTTGAGTCATGAATTCTCTGAGGCCAAGTATATTAGTCAGCTCAAGCTGCCTAACAAATACCATCCACCGGGTGACTGAGACAATAGACATTTCTTTCTTTCTTTTTTTTTTTTTTTAAAGATTTTATTTATTTATTCATGAGAGACAGAGGCAGAGGGAGAAGCAGGCTCCCTGCGGAGCAGGGAGCCCGATGCGGGACTCGATCCCAGGACCCTGGGATCATGACCCGAGCCGAAGGCAGACGCTCAACCGACTGAGCCACCCAGGCGTCCCTAGACATTTATTTCTAACATGAGAATACTTCTGGAGACTGGGGGTCTGAGATCAGGTGCTAGCATGGTCAGGGTTCTGGAGAGAGCTCTCTTCCTGGCTTGCAGAGGGCCATCTTCTTGTATCCTCACATGGCAGAGAGACTCCTCTGGTATCTTTTCTTATCAGATCCCTGTCAGATCAGGGTTCTACCCTTATGACCTCATTTTCACCTTAATTACTTCCATAAAGGCTTTATCTTCAAATATAGTCACATTGGGGGTGAGGGCTTTAACATGTGAGTTTGGGGGGGAAACAAAATTCAGGCTATACCTTAAAGTCAGCTTACTTTCACAAAAATTAGCAAAATCAAAGACATTTAGACTTCGAGAACTCAGCCAGACTGAACTCAGTGAGTTTGGTAAGGGTCATGTGTTATCATAGGGTCATGTCTTGGTAGGAACAATCCAGGACTGGGGGAGCTGTGCATGGGGAAAGGCCTAGCCAGAGTAGGCTAAAATGAGATTAACCCAACTTACTGCATAGACTCTGTACCCGTTTCAGCAGGTCATCTTGTTTCCGTAACTGATATTCCTTGAAGCAAGTGCTAAAACTGTTTAGAATTTGTCCTGTTAGTCCTTAGTATATTACTGAGTAGATTAAGCACCCATGTGATGCATTTTGTAGGAGGCATACCAGACTCGAGTCTCCAGAGCCAACTGCCCTGGAGTTGTTTCTTACAGAACTACAGAAGCAGAACTAAATTTGATTAGGTTGACCTAGCAATCTTAGCAGTAAGCTTTGCTCCGATTAGAAGCCAGGTTAGCTTCCGTACTATGCCTGTTTGTCTCTATTCTTCCAGGAACCTTTGGGCAGCATAGCCCCTGGGATATTTTCACTCCCGCCTCCTGGAGCCACTCCAGAGTGCCCTATGAAATTTTGATAGATCCCCAGAGCATGCTTGCTTACCCAGTGCTGGAAGGGAGTGTGGCTGCCATGCATACAGAAGTGGAGGAGCAAGACAATGTGGTGGAGGAAAAGGCTAAGGTTGGTCCTGGCACATCCAATTCACATTTTTGCATTTTGGAATTTTGTGGCTTCCAGGCAGATCAGCATGGAATAGAAACTGCCTCCTGAAAGAGTCAAGGAATGACCCAGAGAACCAAGTAAATATGGGGATTAAAAGTGTGTCCCTAGATCATGCTACTGACCAGAGCTGGGGCAGAGGTGTGGGTGAGGGTTGTTGGTATCTGTGGGAATAGTTGAAGCTCATCTCCCAGTGTCACTTGACTTTGTTCTCCTTTTGACCAACAAAAAGGTGACTGTCCATGGCCTTGGAATGTAAGGAGACTCATGCGCATCCCCGCTGTCACATCTGAGAAGGACAGACTGATAATTCAGCCCACTGCACACACTTCCCATTAAGAAATACACACAAAAGCTTGGCTTCCTAGCAAGTGAAAGGAAGAAATGGTCAGGTTAGTGCCCTAGTCTATGAAAATCAAAATTGGAGCAAGAGATTTTGAGAAGGCTCTGGTAGAGGCAGTCTTGATTTAGAGCTTAGTGAAATTTATGGATTTCCAAGAAATGCTTGCCCTTTAATAAGTTGAAAAGAAGGTCATTTCATGAGCTATTGCTCACTGGTTATGTTACAACTCAAAGCAGAACACCTGCTCTGGCAGCAAAATAATGTGTCTCAGGTTTTTCCTTGGCAACCTTCTAGAATACTGATCACACAGTATAACTTCGTCACTGATTTCTGTGTAGAGCCACAAACATGCTCAAAATAGGAAATAAAGGGACCAGGCAAGCATAGATCAAGAAAACCTTCTGTCTTGTCAGAGGCCTCTCACATTTCCATGATCGTGTTCTCATAAGCATTCCCAAGGTTATAAAGAGGTACCGTGGTGGCTCTCAGGAGATCAGAATGTGTCTACCCAGCACTATCAGCCTATTTAGAAATACAGTAATTTCCATGTGCATTTGATATAGAGCAAATAAATGAGTTCATTAATTTTGACAGACCTGCAATTTGGAAACAAAAGCACAGAGGGAGGTGGGAAGAGAGGAAGGCCAGAATGGGGAAAATGTGCTGACGTGTGCAGAAGCCAGGCGGAAGTTTGGCTGGAAGGCAGTCCTAGAGAGAAATTCCGACTGCAAGTCTAATGTAGGAACAGGAAGGAGGGAGCTGAGGGAGGGCAAAGCAGGAGGAAGAAGGAAGGGAGGGGAAAGGAGAGGCGGGGAGGGGAGGAAGGCTCTTCAGTTCAACAAATCAAAATAGATAATTTTACATGATGTTTGTTCTCTGAGGTGAAAGGCGGGGGGAGCAGCGGACTCCAGGATTGACCTTGGTCTTGTGTAGAGAAACCATTAGGTGCTTCTGTGTTTATTATTCTGTCCAATTTGACTGCTGGTACCTCAGGAAACAGTCTGTAAATTCTTCCCAAGACAAATACACGGGGAGAAAACGAAAAGGATCTGAGTTCTTATGTAGTATATTTGGGCCAGTCAACGGGAATCCAAACTGAAATTGCAGAATAAAGTGCTTGCAGCACTGTTTACAAGGCAGGGTCACCTGAGTTCTGATCTCAAGTTCACCTTCACTAGATGTGTGACCTTCAGCAATCACTCCTATTAATCTATGAAATGAGAGGGGGATTAGTTGATCTGTGAGTTTTGTTCCAGCCCTAAAAATGCTACTTTTTTCTGAGTGTCTGTCTTGCAAAGCTGAATGTGTTGATTGGATTCTGGGTGTCAGTAGCGATTCTTCCAGAATGCCAGCATATCAAACACAACCACAACTAAAATAAGTTGACAGAATGCAGAAAATCATTCACCTGGAAAATCACATATGAGTTGGTGGTTTGAAAACTGAGTAAAAGCTCAGGGGAAAATGCTCTTGTTTTCTAACAGATTCAGCCAGCCTGGATCTTGCTTCAACACGGAAAATTCATGTAACTGACAAGTTATCCCTGTTCCCCATCACCAGTATGATCATGGGTTCCCATTCCCATAACTGTTCCTTCTTCTTCCAGCCTGAAAAGACCCCTAACCCTCGCTCTCCAGAAGACCCCATCCTTGAAGTTGAAATGAAAGAAGACATAGATCGATGGTGTACATTTCGCAATGGCAGGCCAGCCTAACAGGAACAGGCAGGGCGAAGCAAGGGCCCCCCTAAAGTCAGCCCAGCTTTCCTGGCTGAGGCATCCCATGCCACTCTGTCATCAGCATGGGCCCCTTGTCCCTAAGCCCCCAGCCTGTGACTATAACGAGGTCACCATTCAGATCTCACCACCGTGATGTCCTGCCTGCATGACTGGACACTCTGAGCCCCAGTTTTGTCTAGCCATCCCAGCTCCATGGCTGATGTTGCTGCCCTCAAGGCCATGTGAGGCACTGCCCCTCACTGTTCTTGCAGCCGCTCCCATCACCTGAGGGCATGGGGTTAGGGGCAGGCACTGGGGGGTCCAAAGCTCAGATAACATGGGGTACCACAAAGGCCCTGTGTGCCCTCCAGTCTCCCTGCACTGGGATGTGGCTGGGTTCTACAGAGAAGTAGGATGAATGAAGGCCTCTCTCCAGTTCTGTGAGGTGTTTTGTTCCCCAGGCCCTGTACCAGCCTTCATGGGTCCCAATCACCAAGAGGCCTGAAAACCCCCTTTAGCATCCCCTGCTGCTCCTTTCATCATGGGATTTAGATCTAGACTGTGGGGCTGCATGAGTGATGACACCATCCTGACTTGCCCAGTCCCTTGGTGCAGTGGCTCCATGTCATCAGGAGCCCAGGCCCCTTCTTTGTACTTCTGCCCACTATCTTAGCTCTGGTTTCTGTCTTCACTCTCATCTTATGGTATAAACAGCTGCCAGGGCCTCCCACCTTCCAGATAGTGTGAAGGAACAGGAGCATGGAGAACAGAGGTCCAGGACAAAAGGGAGGCACATCCCAGCCAGATCGGATCCCTTTATGGACTTTTCCAGAAGGTCCTACACACTTCCTCTTACATCCTTTTGGCCAGAACTTATTCACACAGGCCACACCAAGCTACAAGAGAAGTTCAGAGTTCTGTAACCAAGGAGGAAAGCAACAAAGGATTTTTGGGAGATGACTAGCAATCTCTGTTCAAGCGGGTCAAATAGTAGGATGTTTCAGATGCTATTGAAATCTGAGGGCATCACACATGGAAACCCTACCATGTGTATCACGCCAGAAAATGGCAGACAGCCATGAATCAAAAGTTTGGTTTAGGAGACTATTTGGCTGGATAGAAATGACATGGACTAGGATTATAGTTACAGGTCTGTCTTTGAAAATAGTGTCACCTCAGGCAAGTCATATAAACTTCCTGTTGGTACACCTGGTGATCTCCCAGGGGGATCTGCACTCTAAGGAGATGGTGAGCATGACGGTGTGTTGGTCTGGAGACGGAAAGGGAGGGGGCGCCTCCATCCGCAGACACCTGGGGTTTCACATCACCAATGTCTTCATCATTGTCATCATGGGCAGCAGCAGAATGTCATTCTTTAAACACCTTCATAGAACCAGCTTGGGTTTTAGTTGCCTCTCCTCAGAGTGTTAGTCTGCTCAGGTTGCTGTAACAAAACACAAGACAGGGTGGCTTACACAACAGACATTTATTCTTAGAGTTCTGGAGGGTGGAAGTCCAAGATCAAGGTTCTGGACAACTCAATTCCAGGTGGGGGCTTTCTCATTGTGTCCTCATGGGGTGAAACAGTAACGATCTCTCTTCCTCTTTTTCTAAAGACACTAATCCTATCCTAAAGGTCCCACCTCATGACCTCATCAACCCTAATTACCTCCCAAAGACCCCATCTCCAAAAAGCATCACTCTGGGGGTTAGGGCTTTAACATCTGAGTTTTGAGGGACACCATTCAGTCCATCCCTGGAGATGGCTGTGGGTGTGAGGTGGGGCAAGCCTGCCAAACAACATAAACCAACAGCAGGAGGCAGCCACAGGAAGATGCCATCATGCTCATTAGGTCCATGCCAAGTGGGGCAGCACAAAAATTGGCTCTGGACTCAGTACCGATTCTCTACTGCTCTCTGCTGAATGGACACAAGAGTGGAACATAAAGGGGGAGCTATGAAGAAAAGAGGCCAGAGTGGGGCTGCTTAGAGAGTCCCAACCAGGAGGGGAACCAGTGGAAATACTCTCCTCCAAGTGGATTGACACCACTTTGTTGGGCTACTTAAAAATATATGTTTTTTAAGGCAGGGAACCCATGTACATACAGTAAATGTTTTATTTCAACTTGCAACAGTAAAATGCGCATTCGTTCCCCGATCTTTGGATACTGGGCCAAGGCTTTTTTTTCAACTAAGAGACAAGTTCAACACAGTCTTCCATAAATATATTATATATGACTTTCAGTTTCTGCTCTTTTTAAGTGGAGCAAGAACTTAAAGATACTTGCAAAGCAATATGACAGATATTTGCAAAGCACAGTAGTCTTCTAGATTTTTAGAATTTTCCCCATACTTTAAAAGTTGTCCCATCTATCCTCAATTCAGTGTCACCCTTCATCTGGTCTTTCCAAAGAATTCATCTTGGTTTTTACAAGTTTTTTCACCCTAATTTCATTAATTTTCATATCATGTAAATTGATTTATAATTGCAATAAAATGTACCACTGGCATAAATAGGTTTGGGAACAAACACAGTGGGTCCTTGTTAAGCATACAATTCAACACTCAACCATTGGTATCAGACTTGTCATCTACCAACCATGACCATTGGGAGGCTGTGGGCATCGGGCAGGGTGTTTACAGAGTCAATCAATCCATCCGTTCAGTTAGGAGGGCATCTGCCACATGTGATCCTTTGAGTAGCAAGGATCAAAACAAATCAAACTGATGCTTTCCCTGGACAGCTTGGCTGTAGCACTGAGGAGGAGAAGAAGAGAACACAGGCGGGAAGGAGGAGGGGGACGACCCTGTCATTGGTCTACCCATCAGATACCTCATCTACATTCTCTCAGTGGGGTCCAGCCTTCTCAAATAGCACGCACGTTATCCAACACCAAAAAATGTTGAGGATCTTCCAAGTCCCTTCTGATGCTTAGGCAGGAATTACTAAATGATTTTTGTTTCATTCTCACGACATCCTGGAGCTGTACTGTGTGTTATCAACACTTACAGATAAGGAAACTGAGGCTTAGGAGTTTTCCCAAAGTCGAACCACTGGTGTGAGGTCACTGCTCTGTGAAAAGACCATATCTTAGAGGAGGGCTTTTATATGAGAATAGAAAGGAAGTTGTAGTTGTTGTTGCTTGTTTGTTTTTAAGACTTATTTATTTGAGGCAGTGGGAAAGGGCAGCAGGAGAGGGAGAGAGAATCCTCAAGCAGACTCCCCATTGAGCACGGAGCCCAAAGTGGGACTCAATCTCACGACCCAGAGATCATGACCTGAGCTGAAACCAAGAGTTGGATGCTTAACCAACTGAGCCACTCAGGCGCCCCAGGGAGGTATAGCTTTATAATGCTCCAGATACGAAATAGAAGCTGTTGGCAATGGGCAGGTTATCGTGGAATCAAACACCCTCTCCCAAATGCAGGCCTGAGTGATGATGCTAGTGTTAACTAGCTGAGGTTCACTTGTACAGAAAGTGGTGAACAGGTGGCCAGGAGTAGGTGCTTTCCAGGCTGTGCAGACCGAAGCGAGGCTGGGAGAGGCAGACTGGGAGGAGACTTGGTACCAGGAAGGTGAGTGGATGACCCAGCGGCCATGCATGGAGCTGGGGGAGGGAGAGGATTCACTTGGACTCTCAGAGACATGGAGGAGCTGCTGACAGAGGCCATGGAAGCCAGTAAGCAGACGGAGAATAGCACCACAGAGACAAACTGCTCTAGCAAAGGGTAGTGAAGTATACCTCTTATCCCTGATAGATCAGGAACATTCAGGCTTCATCTCAAGATTTTTGCTGGAAATTGTCCATGAATACTTCCAGAGAGTTTATTCAGCATTCATGCTACATGGTTTGTTGAGCACCACTCTGTGCTGGGCATGGTGGGAATAGAAAAGAGTCTGTGACCCAAAGGAGTTCACACTCGGGGAAGCAGGGGCATCTCCAGGCTCCAGCCCTTCATTGCTTGGCTGCCCCCTGACAGCAGGGGTGCAAAGTATCGTGGAAACAGTAGGGTGGGCTTCCTAGAAGAATGGAATTCCTACCCAGACCTGAAAATTGACTAGGACGTAGCCATTTGAAGGGAACCTTTAGAGAAGGAAGAGTGGCTACAGCATGGATGGACCGCGAGGACATTAAGCTAAGTGAAATAAGCCAGATGCAAAAGGACAAATACTGCAGGACTCCACTTACAGGAGGACCTGGGAGGAGTCAGATTCAGAGAGACAGAGAGGTGGTTGCCAGGGGCTGGGGGAAGAGGGGAATAGGGAGTTGTTGTGTAATGGGGATAGAGTTTCCATTTTACAAGATGCAAAGAGTTCCAGACATGCATGGTGGTGATGGCTGCACAACAGTGTGAACGGGCTTAATGTCACCAAATTACACTGTAGTTCACAATGACTAAGATGGCACATTGTGTGTTATGCGAATCTTACCACAATTAAAAGTTACAGGGAGGGGGGAGGAGGAAGGGAGGGAGGGGGAGAGAGAGAGGAGCATGAGGCAAGGGCCAAGGCAAGAGAGAAAGGTGGAGGAGTTCCGGGGACCATGAGAAGCTCCACGTGCCAGCACAGAGTCTGGGGAAGGGGGGGGTGGAAACAGTGGCAAGGACTAGACTACAAAAGGATTCTGAGGGATGGAAGTAGATGGCTTTCCAAGGTGTTGAGAAATAAACAAGAGGGGGACGAGCTGGTGATAGAGGGTCAAGTAGAGGAGACCAACATGCTCATGCTTTTGCTAATGGAAGCCGGGGGATGATGGGAAGGACCACTGTGCTGAGCGGGGGGCTTATGTTTCAGCAGGAGGCAGCAGGTGCCCGAGGAATCTGCACGCTCACCCGGTTCTTTTCCTCCAGGCTGCCACTTGACCAGAACCAGCCTTCCAGGAGAACATGTGAGCTGGGGTGGCCCAGCATCTACCAGACCCTCCGGTGCCACGAGGCCGCCTGCGTGTCCGCTGTTGGGGAGAAGCCAGACTTGTCTATTATTGGCTCAGATTTGTTTAATTTAAATTTTCCCTCACAGGAAAAAGAAGGACGTGAAGCTGCCCAGGAGGAGCACTGATCACATAGCCGTTTCCGTGTCTGGGCTCTGCAGGGACCAGGTTGCTATTGTCTTGGCAAATTCTTCTTCCCCAGTTAACCTAGATGTCTGAGGGAGAGTCAGCTTTGCCCGACAGGGACAAGGAAGAACAGAGCAAGGAATGATTTCAGCCAATGTGGGCTTCCTCCCAAAGCAATTAGAGCTTGGATTGAAGCAACCGAGTTGGATTCGGGGTTTTTCTTCCTTGGAAGCCATGATTTCATTGAGTGAAGAGCCAGGACAGAGCTGATGGCCTGCATACAGCTCCACCCACACCCCAGATATCACCAACAACCACCGCCCGCAGGTGGGTTGGGACAGCAGACAGGAAAGGGAGGCTGTTGGTAACAAACTGACAATTTTGAAAGTTCACTTTGTGCCAGGCAAGCCTCGGTTAAGAGCTGGAATGTCTTATCTCCTTTATTCCTAGTAACACCTCTATGAGTGTTACTCATACTGTTAGTGTCCCCTTTCACCAACAGGGAAACTGAGGCTCTGGGAGGTGAGATGACTGGCCAGTGGCTATCAGTTAAGTAAATGGCACAAGAAAGTCCAGAGCCCACAGTCCTAACTACCAACAATGCGGACCATCAGAGTTGAGAAAAGCAGGCTCTGGGAATAAAATCCGAAGGCCGATTGCCCTCTCCTTTCCAAGTGGGGTCATTTTGAAGCTTTGGCCCTCTCAGAGCTCCCAACCATGGTAGAGAAAGAATAGCAAAGCATCTGCCAGTTACAGCGCACTTGCTGTGCCAATCTCGTCACGGGCATCGTTTAACCTTGAGGCAGCCTAGGGAAGGTGCATCCCTGCTTTTTAGGTGAGAAAACTGGTCCTCAGAGAGATTACGGGTTTTTTGCACAAAGTCACACAAGCCAAAATCTTCCAACTTCAAATCTTAGTTTGGCCCCAGTCACTGGGCTATAATTCTCTACCCCTCATTCAAAGCCATCATGTTGCAAATGAGGATAGTATGGTACAGAATCCATGACTGCAAACACAGGAAGTCTCTTGACCCCGCAGTCCAGTACTTTCCAGTACCCACTCACCTGCTCTTTGGTCAGCCCATGAGCAGCAGCCTTCTCAGAAGGGCAAGAGGGGTACTGTCATGGCCATGCCGCCCCTCCCCATTGGGCAAAGAGTCTGCAGGAGAAGTGTCCCACTTCTGGACCATGCTGCGGGTCCTGGGACCTGGAAATCTCATGCCCAGATGGCCCTGAATCCACGTCCAGAGCCATTCCGTGTCCTCGGGGATTTGTCCATCCGTGAAGAGACCGCAAAGTCCCAGCCCAGCAGGGCAGCAAAGGGGATGGGTATTTGCTGGGGTGCAGATACATAGTGGCGGGGGGTTGCCCATATATGTCCCTTACGGTGGGAAGGAGAAATCTGTCCCTCAAGGTGGAGGGAGAAAGGGGGTGAGCTGGGGCAACCAGAGGCTGCCCTCCCTGCATCGCCACATCCCCATGGAACTATGAGGACTCCAAAAATTCTACATTCATCCTGGCCTTCTGGGGCCTTCTGAGTGGCCAAGGTAGGAGAGAACACTCACCATCTGTTAAGATTTTACCGAACACTTGTTAACTTGATATTTAACTTTTAAAGACTGAGCCTCCATTTGTACTCTTGCCCTGGCCCCCCAAGTATCGGGGGTGAGCCTGCCCCTACTTCCCTTTCACCTCTCAGAGTCTTCTAGTCCCACACACCCCAAGGCCCCTGTGGCCTTACTTCCTATTCCACCCTTGCCAAGAACGTTGGATCCTCACTGAGCGCTTTCTAGGAGCCGCCCCCTACCTCCCCCCCACAACTCCCTGCCCATGAAGGGCATTCCACAGGTTTCTGTATCATCAGCAGCTCCAGGAGAGATGCTGCCCTGCTTTCTGGCTAAGTTGCCTGATTGTTCCCTGGCATTTTTCTGACCCAGCCACGCAGGAGCCCAGACCTCAGTACCTCCAGCCAGCACCGGTGGAAAACGCTCCCATCGGTGAAGAATCCTGCTTAACCGTTAAGCAACCCAAGCTTAGGCAAAATGAGAAATGTATTGATTCGTAGAACCATGGGAAAAACGATGACCAAGAACTTAAAAACCCCATCAGGACTGACCTTCTCTCCTTGTCCCTGTGGTACTGCCTGTTCTCTCTTTCTCTGCAGACCAGTTCTGTCCACCTTGCCAGAAACATGGCCACAACAGTCTCTGGGTTTAATCTGTAGCTTTAATTCCACAGAGAGACTGACTTTAAGTTCTCTTGGGTTCCGAGTCTCAAATCCCTAGCAAAGAGACTTACTGACGTATCTTGGGTCAGCACTTACCTTGGCTCAAACCAAATGAGAGCTGGGGACTGGTTCCTTTAAAAATGGCTGGTCTCTTAGAGCCACGGTGATGCAAAGGCCCTGCTCCCCTGGAGAAGAGGAGGGGGCTGGGGACACAAACAATCCTCTGCATGTCTCCGAAAGCTAGACTATTGATTCCCACCACCTCAGACTATCAAACTATGCCTATCTGCCTGCCTTCGTCTTCCCCTCGCCCCCCTTGCCTTCTTCCTGACATGGGTTTAAATCCTGAGTTTTCTCCTTCCTACTGAATCCAGGCTCCAGAGGCACAGAGAGGACCTGCTCGCAGCTCTGTCACCAGCTTGCTGATGGGCCAGAGCCTATTATTACTCTATCCCTTAAGCCTTAATATCCTCAGCTGCCAAAAAGGGAAGGGGGAGCAGTTTGCTCGCCACACAGGTTTTGCCCTTCTGTTTCTGAGTCTTTGAGCCTCCTAAGCAACCAGCCTACCTTGGCCAGACCCCTTTTCCCACCCTGCTTTATGTAAACCTTTAAAACACTGGATCTCTCCTTATTTTAATGAAGTACTCATTTTTAATCCTTTATTTTTGGACCATAACATTTAGAGTTTAATCCTCGGGGTTCTAGCCTGCCTACTTGGTACTATTTTGAATCAAGAGCTCTGCATTAATGCTGTTTTGCTGAGGGCAGTGTTCCCTCCATTAACTTATCCCTTGAGGAAATAATGCCATTATCTGAAGTCAGAGGCATTCAAAACAAAACCCATCTTGTAAATCATGCCAAGCCGGGTTCCAGATCCCTCCAGGTGCAACTTCCAATTGGTCTGGCCTTGTTGGAAGAAAATGGGGCAAAACGGTGAAGAACAATCAGAACTTTTCTGACCCAGCTCTTCCTTCTGCCCCTTCCCACTCCTACCTCTGCAGCCAGAATCCTGCTTTCTCACAGGCCCGCTGCCTATCACAGCAGGAACAGGGACAAGTCCAGCCGTTACCCGCTGGGCCTTGCAGAAATAAGTTTGGGAAATGCTGGATTAAAGACAGTTTAGCAGGTTTGTTTCCCTCTGACCCCATCTCAAGCTAATCACCTCCCAAAGGCATATCCTCCTACCACTACCACATGGCAGTTAGAGCTTCAACATATAGATTTGGGGGTGCTACCAACACTCGGTCTGTAACAGAGAGTAACTTGTTCAGGATCATAAGCAAGAAGGTGGCAAGAGCCACGTCTGGGACCGATGTCTCCAGATTCCTCCATCTGTCCTCTTTCCCTTGTATGTAAACGATAGTATGAGGCATCATGGACTATCAAGTGCTGTGCTGGGCAGCTGGTGGGAAGGATGAGACTGGATAGGATTTGAGATGCTGATGATGCCCAGCATCCGAGCAGCGGCCCTGGGGAGTCCGAATCTGCCCCTCCCCCATAACCCCTTCTTCTGGTGAGATCCCAGACGGAGACACGCAACAAGGAACAACAGAAGATGGAAGCAAGTGCCATTTTATTGCTAGCTGAGATGCCTG